CTTTAAACTGGCTGGAACATCTGCCTGGTTCCTTCATTTGTTAAATAAAATCTTTAACAAGCATTCATTTTTATATCAGTATGAGAGTTGTGATTTTACTTTTTCTCTTTTTAAAATTATTATTTAACAGTAAAAAGGGGAGGAAAAAGAAAGCACCAAGGAATCCCTCCGCCTGTCATGGGCGCTGGGCCAGCCCTTAGCCGGAGGTCGCAGGTCACGGCTGTCAGGAGCAGTCTCTGTCTTCTGATGTAAACTTCCAGCAGACATCCTCTCAGGTTCCCCATTGTCCTGCACCTCCAGAGTTTGGGGATCTCACCTGGAGTCTGAGCACCTGAAACCAATGCTTTCTCTTGGATCCAATCCACCTTTCCCCAAACAAATACTCATGGTCCCCAGTGGCTCCCACGTGAGCTGCAGTTGGGAGAAAAGTGACCCCTTTCTCTACCAAATGCCATGTCCCCACCATCTCCTGCCTTTTAAAAGACACTGCTTGCTGATCCAATTTAACCACTTTTCAGTATGATTTCTAGTAATGCAATTGGACTCTGCTCCTGCTTTTCCTAGTGTCTTTCTGGTTTTCTTCCTTCTGGACTCTGGTATAATTGGAGGCTGTTTAGAGCAGAGGAGGGCCACGATGCATCCTTCAGGATGGTTCAGGTGGAGAAACAACGGCTGTGCCCTCCAGAACAATGGCAGGAACGTCAGCCCTAACATGTATGTAACTCTTATGACGTGCTGGGCGCTGTTTTAAGTATTTTTACATAAGTCAGCTCATTTAATCCTCACAAAAAAACTATGATGAAGGTGCTATTCTTATTTCCATCTTTACAGATGGGAAACTGAAGCATAAAGACAGTAGCTGAAACACTATTCTATTTGTTAAGAGAAGCTCACACATTTCCTGAGCCCGGGGTGTTAATAATGTCCCCCAAAGAAGGCTGATCTGAAGGACAGTGCTTGTTTCCAGTGGCCTTGTTGTGGATCGGGAGCTACTGGGCTCTTCCTTCATCATCAATGTCATTCTTTGGGTTAAAATGTGCAGCAGTAGGTCCGAGGGACACAGGAGGGGGCATTCCCAGTGGGTGATCTGGCTGGGAGGAATTTGGGGTAAACAGTGATATGAGTAATAGTCAAGCTCTTGAGCCAACTACAAATGCCTACACCATGAGTAGTACTGGAAAACAATCCTGAAATCCAACCAGCCATCTGGAATCCCCTCCCCGAGGGGATCTGGAACTGGCAGAGGGCCCTCCTGCACTGGGGGTGCGGCAGAGGTGGGAATTCCAGTCTCGGCGGGGGGCTTGCAGGGGGGGCTCCAGCACTGAGGTCGTTTTCCTGATGGCTCTTGCAGTGGAGGGGCATCCAGTTACAAGGATTAAAGAACTTTCTGGGCTAGAGAAATAGCTGGGGCAGTGGGTCATTAATCCTTCCTTCCACAAATGTGTACTGAATGCTAATTAATAACAGCTAACGTTAATTGGGTGCTTATCAGTTGCAGGTTCCGGGTTAAACCTTCCTGTGTTGTTTCTCTCAGTCTTCTACCACAACCTTATGAAAAGCAGGTGTTGGTATCCCTAGAGAGAGACAATAACTTACCCAAGCTAAAAAGTGCTGAGTTTTAAAAAAATTCACTGAAGTGCTGCACACATTCCAAAAAATCATAAGTGTTTATATTGATGAGTTAACTCAAAGTTAACCCGTGTCTGTGTAACCACCTCTCAGGATAACAAATAGGACATTCCCAGTGTCCCCAAACCTCCCTTGTCCCCTTCCCAACTACTGCGCTTCTTCCTCTCCAAAGGGAAACAGTTCTTGATTTCCAACACTACAGATTAGTTTTGCCTGATTTCTAAACTCTCTATAAATGGAATTAGAAAGCCAGTGTCTGGCGTCTTTGGGTCAGCCTTGCGTTGGTGACATTCCTCCACGTTGCTGCGTGTAGTGGAGCTCACCCAGCTGCACTGCCGTGCAGATCCACAACTACTTTATTCATCTATTGTTGTGAACATTTGTTTTCTCTCTCTCTCTTTTTTTTTTTTCTACCATGATCAATGAAGCTTCTGTGACTGTTCCAGTTCATGTCTTTTCTTGAACTTATACACACATTTCTGCTGGGTATGTGCCCAGGAGTGGAATAACTGAGTCATAGGGTTCGTGCCCAGTGGGTTTTGAACCTAGATGTGTCCACTCTAAACTCAACAGCGGTGCCCTGTGCCACCATGTACTGTGGACAGTGCTAGGGCTGGGAAGATGGAGCCTGCAGAGGAACAGCTGATGTGGCAGTGGGGACAGAGAGGGCGGGACGAGAGCACGGGCTGTGGAGGGGAGGCCAAAGGTGGCAGAGGAGGAGCACTGACCCTAGAGTGTTTCCATGTCACTGGCTTGGGCTCCTCGGCGGATGGTGGTGTCATCGAACATGATGAAGGCAGAAGGAGGACCCAGCTCAGGGGAGAGGAGTTCAGCCTGGTGCAGGAGGAGACTCCACACGCTGGAGCGGCCTCCCAGTGGCGCTATCCAGGGCACTTCTATAGCTTGACATGGGCGTGGGGGAGTCGGGGATGAAGATGGACGTCCGGGTAGGATGGGCACAGAGAGAAGAGACTTGTGGATCACGGATGCTGGAGGGCGAAGCGCCTGCCAGACCACGTGGGACGGGGCAGGGGAAGTGCTGACTGTGCAGAAAAGCAGGAACAGGCGCAGGATTGCCGAGCAGCCCTGAGAGCCTCCCCGTGTGCAGACCATACCCACTTTTTTAGTATCATTCTTTCTTAGCTGGCACGACTTTTGCTGGGTGCTACTCAACAGCTTGGGTGCTGGGGTGTCGGCATGACCCTAGGGAAGGGCTGAGCTGGCTGCAGGAGGCAGGAAGCCAAGTGCAGGGCAGGTAGACAGAGTTTGATAAGCGAGAAATTTAGGGGTGACCTCTTAGAATTCACCTGGGACAGGAAAAGAAAAGAGAGCAAGAACCAGAGAGTGGCACTGGGTGATAAAAGGGCTTGAGAGATTGCAGGATTTGGCAAGGGCTAGGGCAAGGTCAGATGAGGTCCAGATCCACTGAGAGACAGGACAGAGGCAGGTGGAAAACCCATGTTCCCTGAAACGTCTGCTGCTAGGATAAAGCAAAGGCAATGTTGTCCAAATGCGCGGAAAAATACTGGCTTTGCAGAATTCTACCTTTTCAATTTTGTGTCTTTTAGACCAAAATTTTTACCTTACCCTTCAGTGTCTGCCACTGTTTAGTGGCAAATGTGATGATTTTACGTTGTACAGATATGGTCATAGTGTCTGCTGGTGAGACTGATCCCAGCTCACATGCTGGGGCTAAGTGTAGACACGGACAGTGGCCACGGACGTGGCGTGATGTCCGGAACGTCAGAGAACCGCGTCAGGGTGGAGTGGGCAGGCCTGGGTGAGAAACTGGGGGGTGGCAAGGTGCGAGAGGAGGACGTAGCAGAAAGGCAGCTGCCAAGGTTTGGGAGACGAAGCTAGGAAGGAGAGTGATGGGGACAGGGACAGAGCACCCGGAGCAAGGATCCCAGAGCATGGGCAGGGGAAGAAAGCAACAAGTTCAGTTAGAGAAATTACTGGGGTTTAGGGAAAGGTTTTTATTAAAAAAAGACTGACAGGGTTCAAAGGGTGGATTGTCTGAGCCAAATGGACAGGGGAGAGTTGGTTCTGTTCCTTGGCTAATGGGGGAAGGGCAATTTGGGTTCAAGCGTCGTGGACTCAGAGAGAGTTTAGACTGAGATGGTGAGCAGGGAAAACCCGCGAGGAGTGGAGAGAAAGAGTCACAATGTCAGGTCAAAACTGGCTGCGAAGCCCAGTCCTGCAGCGTGTGGCTGTGTGTGACATATTCCTGCCAGTTCGGCGCTGAAGCTCTTCTGAGACAGGTAGGGGGCAGGGAGGGACATCTGCCCCTAAACAGTGGCAGACACTGAAAGGTAAGTAAACATTTTGGTCTAAAAGACACAAAATAGAAAAGGTAGAATTCTATGGGCTGTACGCAACAACAACACTGGGAATGACAACAGGTAACCAGTCCCGCACCCCGGCAGCAGCGCCCTGATGCACACACATCGCTCTAACGAAGCCTGAAACGAGTCAAAGTATTGACTTTGATAAGTTCTTGCAGTTTTACTGCTAACCAATTCCATCAGCCGGCAAACGTCCGCCACGTTCATCCGCCAGGTCTTGCTCTTTGGGTTGTAAAGACTCTGGTCTGGCTTGCTCTCCTCAGCAATACATCCTTTCTGCTCCACTGTCTACATTTGAGAGCTTTATTGTGGCCCTGTTCTTTTGTAACATCCCACCTCTTCGTCATATCTTCCACCCCTTCCAAGGTGAGTGACCTGTCCCCAGCAGGTGGTAACCCTCATGACTACCCGCTGCACATCTCACGGGCAGGCTGCATGCATGTGGCTGTGTCCTCACGGGTCATTCCATGCAGGACCACGCTGGGATGCTTTTCTCTACCCCCAGTGCCTGGAGTGGATGTCTAGAAAAAATATGTAAGTGATAAGCCAATACTTAATGAATAAATACTGTGGAGGAGAATGTTTGTGAGGAATGAAAGGGGGAGTGGTCTATGCCAATAAAGAGAACAGAAGCCAGGTCTTAAAGAGGAGCCGAGGGCTGGCCTGTGGCTCACCTGGGTGAGCGTGGTGCAGACACCACCAAGTCAAGGGTTAAGATCCCCTTACCGTTCATCTTTTTTTTTTTTTTTTTTTTTTNAGGAATGAAAGGGGGAGCGGTCTATGCCAATAAAGAGAACAGAAGCCAGGTCTTAAAGAGGAGCCGAGGGCTGGCCTGTGGCTCACCTGGGTGAGCGTGGTGCAGACACCACCAAGTCAAGGGTTAAGATCCCCTTACCGTTCATCTTTTTTTTTTTTTTTTTTTTTTAAAAAAGGGAGACTGTGGTGCTGATCAAAGAGCAGCTGACCTTAGGGGCCTGGGAGCCAGCGGCCGATGCAGGGAATGCTCCATGGGGGAAATCTGGGATGAGATGTGCATAGCGAGAAGCTGGGTGTGCCTCTGCTGCACTCAGGATGCAACTGGCTGAATAACTAGGGGAGAGAAGAATAGAACTGGGGGATTTTTATTATTACAAACTTGGGATATTCTTGGTTCTAAAAATAAAATACCAAATTGTCATACTGGAGTGCAAAAAATGTGCTAATCAAGAGTAGTAACAGTTGGCTCAATGTAGTCCATGTCTTAGGGCAGCGATATAATTTCCACATGCTTCGTGCCAGGGTTGAGCTGGTCTTGGGAACTGAGCAGCTAATCCCTTCTAGGTTGGCAGGGTGGGTGGGTTGCTTTAGAGGTAAGGCTGTGGGAAAGCTGGGATTGCTCAGCCATCTCTGCTTCACTCACCCATCAGAAATGTTTCCTGAGTACTTCCTCAGGGCCATGTGCTGTTTTAGGACACAACAGGAAATGCTCACTGTCCTGGAACCTTCACAATTCCCAGTCTCTGCCCTACTGCAGTCCCTTGAGAGCCAACTCCAGCCTCCTCCTTCTCCCTGTAGCCTCAGGACTAGCAGGAGCATGGAATGTGGGGATCCCCACTTTCCAGCTCCACACTACAGAGTGGGGTGCCTACAATATGGGCAGCCAGGGAGAGTCCAGGAGACTGTGTCTGTTTCCTGTAGATTGTCACTGTGTGGGCAGTGAATGGGGCTTGTGTCAATGTCAACTATGGCTCAGGGCTGGACATGTCCACTGAATTTAATAGAAAAGAGGCAGGACCATCGGGGGTGGGTGGTGGGGCAGACGCAGGTGGCTGAGATACACAGAGCAATAGGATGAAATGAAAAGGGAAGACATTGCCTTCTTACTCCATAGATCATAGTGTGTTTGTGGGTTTTACCCCCAAAGAGCATGGACTAGTTTTGTGCTGTTTGAATATATATATTTTGCAAGGTGCAAAAGTGAGCTCGGGAGGCAGATCTGTCCTGCACAAGGTTCCTGTGAAGGAAGGGCGGTGGGGGAGGAGGCAGGGGGGAATAGTGTCTGTTTTAAGGTGAGATCTGGTGCGAGTCCAGGAAGACAGGTGCCACACAGTGACAAGGGGATCCCGGGGAGGGGTGGAGGTGGGGTGTCTGGAGTCCTGAGGGAGGACGGCTGTGGGGGAGGAGGCAGGGGGGAATAGTGTCTGTTTTAAGGTGAGATCTGGTGCGAGTCCAGGAGGACAGGTGCCACACAGTGACAAGGGGATCCTGGGGAGGGGTGGAGGTGGGGTGTCTGGAGTCCTGAGGGAGGACGGCTCAGGGTTTGGTCACAGAGGAGAGGGATTGGAGACCAAGCAGGGACAAAGGTCTAGGATGCAGATGAACCTCAGTTTTAGGGCTGGGAGGGGGTCCAGGGTGCTCGGGCAGGAGATTGGTTCCATTTTCTCTGTGGATCAGGACATGAAGTCTTTGGAGGAGGGTGGTGGGCTGGGCTGGAGGGGAGTGGGGCAGATTTGAGAGGCCTGCTGTGGGGACTGGAAGGGTGGATGAGGCTCCCATTGGTGGCGCCAGGGTTGGGAATTAAAAATGGGAGAGGCTGGCAGCTCCTGGGGCTGGTGGGAGAGGGACTATGAGACTTCTCCCCCATGGGGATGGACGTGGACACAGGAGGCCGGTTGGATGGTGACCCCACCGTCATCATGGCTCACTCCCCCACTTTCTTTGGGTCTTGATTCAAAGCCTCTTTCTCAGTGGGACCTTATTTGGCACTGTCATCTAAAACTCTAACCCCTGAGCCCTTCCCATGCTCTTTCCCTGCTGTATTTTTACCTTGCACCTGACACTATTTAACATACTATACATCTCCCTCAACAGAATGGAAGCACTCCAAGGACAGATGTTGGGGTTGAATCGTGTCCCCCACCCGCCCACCAAATTCATATGTTAGAGTCCTAACCCCAGAACCAAGCCAAGGAGCACTGCAGGTTGCCAGCAAACACCCAGAAGCTGGGGGAAAGGCATGGGACAGGCTCTTCCTCACAGCCTCAGAAGGATCCAACTCTGGCCATGGCCTGATCTTGACTTTTGGCCTCCAGAACTGTGAGACAATACATTTCTGTTGTTTAAGCAGTCTGTGGTGCTTTGTACGGCAGCCCAAGCAAGGGAATATAACAGGGGATTTAAAAATTTTATTGCGTTTCTTCTAGATTCCAAATAAATGTAGACTGAGAAGTGACAAAGGCCAGAGATGCAGACTGTGGATCCTCCCCACATGCATGACATGTTCTGCCCAAATGCCCCTTGCCTTTAGCTTTGTCCCTATTGGCACATTTTGACCTGAAACTGACCCAAGAGAGACAAGTGTAAGCCAAACTGTAGGATTTACGATGGTAATTTTAACATTCTGATGTAGTCTTTGCTTTGATTACTGAATTTATGCTCAGTTAGGCAGAGTGGCAGGGCGGCAACTTGGAAGCACATGTGCGTCCCAGCTTGGAGCCAGGCACGGTGCCCCCAGCATCGGGGAGCTCTGAGTCTCCTTGCTCTGTGCCCCACAGTCTGAGCATGGTGCTTGACACGATAAGACATTAATCCGGCTTTACAGGGAACTGCTGATTGTCGGAAGCTGGTAGAGAACCCGGGCACCCTCCAAAGCCCTATGTCTTTCTACCTACAAAAGTGGTTTTAAAAACACTTCCAAAGATCCAAACACTTAGAAGTGTAAGTGGCTAAAGAAAGATGAGGTTGCTGGAGACCAGCTGCTTTGTGCTTGGCCCTGTGTAAGTTCAGATTGTCCCGAGATACATTGAGTGAGGCCTGGTCTAGCAGCACTGTCTTTTGTTTAACAGGGATTTGTGGAGCATTAGCTAAGATGGTGAAGTACCTACTTAGATGCTGGGGATTAAAAAAAAAATCAATGAGACCTGGTCCCTGCATTTGTGAACTCTCAAGGTACAAGAGAAGATTGTTTTGCAAAACATTATTGGAAAAGAGGGCAATAAGAGCTATTATAGGGGCATGTACAGAGGGGCAGCTTTGGGGAAAAGGGTGGGGTTTCTCTTGTATTTGTTAATTATAGGGGCATGTACAGAGGGGCAGCTTTGGGGAAAAGGGTGGGGTTTCTCTTGTATTTGGGGGAGAGACCCAGGTGGGGCATGGAGAAGCCTCTGCTGAGTAGGTCTTTTAATGGCCTCTCACATCACACAGGACTCCCTCAATTGGCCTGAAAAATCTAACCACCTTTATTCACATAAGGACCCAAGGTCTTTTGTCCTTGGGGTAAGAATGCTGGTGTCTCTAGTTATCCCCCACTGCTGCTAATTCCCACGAAGAGCAGGGAAGAGACAGAGGAACTGGCAGTGACATGCACACATGCAGTTAGTTCCTCCAAATATTTAACCACGACGCCGGCACAATTCCCTAAAAGAAAATGAATTTCTTAAGCGGTTACACGACTTCAGATTATAACAGGAGGGATCTCAT